TTATTTTTAAGATTGTTTCCAAATATATATATTTTTTTTAGTTGGGTTTAACACTAAACAAACGGCTTTTTGTAGCGATTCAGAAAACCGGAAAAATCAGTTATCCGGAATAGCGATAGTCCCGATCGTTCCGGAAAATCGGTTCTCTACTGTATAAACTGAAAATGCAATAAAGTTAATTGAAATAATTCTTCTGAGCATTTGGAAAGAAATACTCCCTATCCAAATATTAAAAATTAACCACCAAAACTATTTTTAATTAATATTTGTATCACATATAACAAGGCACCTCATTTTCCCTCTCTTAAATGAACTTTATTTTTTAACAAAAGTATTGGTAACCAGCATCGAATTCTCTAGCATACAAAATTGGGTAACCAAAAACTTTTTCACTTTTCACAACTTACACGAAGAACATATTTTTTGCCCATGTTTGATGCAACAATCAATTGAACAGATTAATAAAAAATAAAATAAAAGTCAAGATAAGGTAAAGGGATTTGTCAGCTAAAGTTTGTCAGATTGGTTATTGTTACCATATTATTTGATGATGAAGATATTTTAAATTTCACAATTGTGAAGGCATGGTAAAAATTATCTTAAATTTGCAGGTGACAGAAAGTTTTAAGCAAAAGAGTTGTAAAGTAGTAAAATATGGAAAGAATTGCTGAATTTGTTGATACTTTAAATATATCCTATACTTTTTAGATCAAAATAAATAAAAAAATTTCTTGTAAAATTATTTTCAAACAACACATAAATTACAGGCTTTATTATGAGAAGAAGTGTTGAAATAGAGAGCACATGTAAAATAAGGTATTTTTTACAAAAATATTATTCGAAAAAAAGGTTTTGTATATTGTGTGGCCATGGTTTGTAAGTTTATTGCGCAGTAAAAAAAAATAAGTAAATAAATTTACATTGAAAGGAATTTACCTTGAAGGTAGTAAAATATATTATATTTTTATCTATGACAAATTATGAGTCGAACACAATTTATCTATTAATATTAAGGAATTATGATTTTGATTAAACGTTAAAGTTCAATTTAGTTTTTAATAAACATTTTAACAGATGACGGATTAACATAATTTGATAGATAAAATTATATTTTATAAAATTGTAACCTTTAAATTTAATAAAAACAACATTGATAAAATGCAATTAAAAAAAAAAATTGGGGGAGATTTTGATTTTTAACTTTTGATTTCTTTTAACTAAACCTTGTGTACAGCAGTTAAAACAACTTAATACTGCCTCATATCATTATAATAATAACCAATGACATTCTGAGGTGTTTGAATACTTGAACAAACTCATCGATAAAATGACTCTGAAAAGAAAATGTTTAAGCACTGAACAGGACAAATAAAAACATAGTTTAATTAAAAGAACACAAATTACAAAAAATACATTTTAATAAGCATCTAATCCATATTTTAGTTATTTCTTTAAAGTAAATTAGAAATTTATCCACATTGAAATTTTTTTCTAATAATCATGATCTTCCTCAGCATTTTAAATCTCTTAATTCATAAATTTGTTCTACTTTTCACGCAGATTTATCATCATCATATCTGGCTAGACAGCCCAGGGTGGGCCAGTGCCTTCCTTTGAATTCGAATCTACTTCTCTCTACTTTTGACACTTGTTCGCAAGTTTTTCTCCTTTAGAGTAAGGAAATCAGTCTCAACTAAATCCAGCCATCTCAGCCTGAGTCTACCTCTTTTCCTGTTCGTTAGGGTCTGTGTAATAGGATTTTCTTTAAATTTGAGTCATCATTCCTTCTGAAAATGTTGAGCTGCCCAGTTCATTCGATTTATTTTTATGAATTTCACAATATCTGGCTCTCAGTAGATTTTATACAGTTCAATATTATATCGTCTTCTCCAGGAATTATTTATTTTTATCCCACCAAGGATGGTCCTCAAAACGTTTCTCTCAAAAAAGCACGCAGATTAATAAAGTAACATTTTTAAGTTAGGTGATTCTTTAGCAATGGAATTAAATTGGTAACTTTTTGTTAGAAATTCGTATAACTAATATTAAGTTTTATCATAAAGTATAGCTAGAGAAATAAAATATAAATTTGCTTTCATTTTTAAATAATCTTTTTTTTTTCAAAAAATTTTAAATGCTCGGTTTTGAATGCAGCATTAAAACAAAAACACAGTTTGTTTGAATAAATACAAATAAAAAATTTCATTTCTCTCACTACTTAATGTACAGCAAAAAAAAAAAAAAAATTAATATTAACTTTATGAATTTCTAACTAGAAATTACAAATTCGCTTTGAAGTGTAATTCTGTGCTACTAGAGAATTGCTAAGTTATGTCAGAAAGATATATTATTTCCTAGAATATTTTTTCAAGAAGATGTACTAAAGAAAATACAAAACAATAATTACTATATATATATTTTTTTAATTCTAAAAAACTTTTTCATTTAAATTTTATAATATTTGAAATATAACAACAACAATAAACTAAATTATCGTTAAAACCATTATGCACACGTAATGACATAATAAAACTTGAAGATATAAATAATATTAAGGTTTCATTACAAAACTGGAACATTCGAAATTTAAGTTTAATCCAAGGTTAAAACTCTGACACATAAAAGAAATTGATTGAATATTTTTGCTTTAACCAATTATTTAACAACTGCTTTTTTTAAAATTTGTACTTTTAAATATCAAATAAAAGGTCTTTAAACAATGGGCTATAAAGTCACAGAAAGATATACTAAAAGTAAGGTTTGTCAAATCTTTAAAATTTTTATCTTAAAAAATCTGATTTGTTTTAAATCAAGATTTTTTTAAATTTAAATTGGGATATTTTCCCTTTTCTAAGAAAACCTTGAAAGTTTTTGTTTTATAATCAGATTAATATCATTAACTATAATTATTACAGAATTAAAAACGAAACATAATAATACATTTAAATCTATATCACTGGGTAAACAATTGTTTTATATATTAATACACAATGCTTGCATTATTCAAAATTGAAAAATAAATATATCATTATAAACTATTGAAAAACAGTCTAAGATAAAGAAATCACAAAAGTAAGTAAATTATGTTGCCTTACACTGTAAGTTGACAAGTATTTCACCCCCCAAAAATACTCACAATATGATAAAGTAATCTGAAACAGCCTTTTTTTTTATGTCATAATAATAAATTTTTTTAAAATTGTACATACTTTAAAATTTAGAAAGATATATGCAATATTAAAATAAAATTTTGTTTTGAAAATAATGTTTTAAAACCAGCAATTAATAACATGATAAGATAATCATTTTATTTCTTCTCAAAATAAATTTAATAAATAAATAAAAATTATGTTCAATGACTAATTTTTACATTTGTATCAGTTTATATAAAAAAAGAATTACATTTTCATATTGCTCTTTATTTGCATACTGAAGAATTCAAAATAATTATAGATTTTTAAAATATCATTTCAAAAGAGCTGTAATTTATTACACACCAAGTACTATTGTAGTCTTGCTAATCGAAATTTAAATACAAAGCAAAACAGCAAAATTTTTAAAATAAATTTTAAAACAATGAAATTAATAAAGAATTTAAATAATCACAGCATTTTATTAATTAGAAAATGTTTATTTAAATAAAAATCTTGAACAGTGATAAATGTCTAAAAAATGTTGCAGTTTACACATTTAGCAGTAATTTATGTTCAAGAAAATTATTTTAGTAATATTAGTTGGTTAAGCATAATCTTATAACATTTTTGAATTATTTTGATAGGCTAGAGCTAATACAAGTTTTGTTGCCTTTTTATGCCACATTAATAATAATTTATTACAATTATTATTTTAATTGATAGGTTTTAATATTTAAAGTTTTATAATAAAGTTTCCAATGCTTCATTTCAAATTCATTTATATCCAAATTTTAACTGTCAACAAATAAAAATATTTTAATTTTAAGAAATTTTTTTTATATAGAGTTTCTACTATTATTGAAACTTAAGATGAAAATTACTGAGAAATAGTTGAAATCTTATATTTGATTAAAAAAATTCCTCATAAACAGAAAATAAACAACAAATACATAAATATTGAGGGTTGCTTATTCTAATTCTTAATTAAAATAACTTATTAATACCCTTTTATTTTTAATTAAGAACAAATGTGTACAATGACTTAAAGATAAATAATCTCTCCTAATATTAAATTTAAGAATTTTATTGCTAAAAAAACAAAGAGTGTATAATACTCCTTTTACTAATATAGAAATAGGTATTTAAGTAATCAACTGAAAACATAATATTATTAATACACATAAGTAAAATACCAGCAATAATTTTTTAATTCCTATTCTAAAATTTCTGTTTAAAAATATTAATAAAGCCGTAAAAAACTACATTTTATAAATTAACATTAACAGAGATAAGAGTAACTAAAAGTGAATTAAAACAAACTATCACACCTTTAATGCTTACTTTAAAAAAAATAAAAAAAAAATAGGTAATTTAACTTATGACCTTTTAATATTTATAAAATAAAATGATGTGAAAGGAATTTCAACAATAAAATAAATGAATCCATCAAAAATGATCTCAAAAACGAATCTGAAGATACGTCTAGTTCCGATGCCTAAAACGATAAAAACAACAAAGATATTTCTAGAAATCAAATAGGAAATCAAGCGAAAAAACAAACGACAATCATTATTACATAACAACTGTGCCGTTGACAACATATCGTTCCGTTGATATATTTATGATTATATCACCCCGATAGACGTAGAATGATCACATCTCAGAATTATTTGCCAAGTAAAGGATGCACATGCACCGGAGTTTCCTCTCTACAATCAATAACACAGCAATTTCTTTCGAACGCGATAAAAAACGTAAATATCCACAGCATATTAAAATGTTTCCCAAACGATTTCAAACGGCAAAGACAACTCAACACATCAAAAATCACAATGGAGTAATAAAAGTAAAAAAGCGATTCATTACCTTTTTATAACTCACTTAATCCTTTCTTCCTTTAGCTGCTCCGACGGTGGGAAGAAGCATCCATGATAGTACCAAGCAGGGAACACAAACTGCGCCAAACGTTGAACAATAATCCATTGGTCTCCTTCCTGCAGGATAAAAACACTATCGAGATGAAATTCCAAGAGTAAAAGACTACGATTTAGAAAGAGGATTTCTAAAGAGTGTAAAAGGGGGTCGCTATATGAATATACTACTAAAAATAAAAAAAGAGAATTGACTAGAAAGGAGCAACAGCCTATAGATACGGCTCTCTCTATTCTACTGATACATTCCCCAGTTCTTCCCGTTCTCCACAGGTTAAAGAAACATGCCCGAGACTCCCCTAGCCTGCGCGTTTCGCCCACAAAAATTTCCGGATCGATCAGTAGCTTTACGAGTTATTTTTATAATAAAAAATTTGCTTATCAACTATTTATTTGATTACGTCAATATTCAAAAATTTGCGACGAATTTTGAAAAATTAAAAAAAAAATATATATATAGAATTAATTTTTAGAAGTTCAGTCAGTTTTAGTCGATGGAAATTATGTGGGAGAAAATGCAATTATTTTGTTGAAAACAACCTTAGACGATATTTATAATAATTTTATTATGAATATGGTTATCAAACTGTATCAGGGAATGAGATGTGGTGGCAAACTTGCTGGTTATTAATTACTCCAAGCAAAATAAGCACGCAAAGTATTTATACGTAACATTAAGTGTTCACATTTATGTTACGTGATTTCTTAAAATTAAAGTGGGTTGTAAACTTTACATCCTGTTGAATTTTTCTTAATGAGGTTAATAACCAGAGACTCGAACTACTGCGGTTTCTCTGTAGTTTTTGAAAGAAAAAAAAATTCCTAATGATAGCAAAGGACGAATGAAAATATAGTTTAATAATTAAAAGAACTCTAATTCGAAAAATAGACATTAACAAGAATCTTATCCATATTTTAAATTCATTTTTATCTAAATTAGAAATTAATTTTTAACTATTAAATTTTTTTCCAATCTTCCTCAACACTTTAATTCCCTAAAACTTGATTTATAAATTTGTTCTAATTTATATTTTAATAAAATTAGAATTGAAAGAAATTTGTTCACCACTAAAAATAAGTAATTTAATGAGATACATATGAAATCCTGAAGACGAATGTTCCAGTTCTTAAAGAAAGCTCTGATAAATGTTATTATTTTTTTTAAATATCTGTTTGTTTCAACAAATTCTGCTTTAGTTCACTACCAATGAAAAAAATAATTCGAAACTACGGAAAATCCGTAGTAGTAGTGTCTGTAATATAGAGACTTCAACCATTTGAGGTTGTGGCTAGGACTGGGCTATAAATCGATATATCGCGACATATCGATTTAACGCCANTTTTTTTTTTTTTTTTTTTTTTTTTTTTTTTTTTTTTTAAATGTCTGTTTGTTTCAACAAATTCTGCTTCAGTTCACTACCAGTGAAAAAAATAATTCGAAACTACGGAAAATCTGTAGTAGTAGTGTCTGTAATATAGAGACTTCAACCATTTGAGGTTGTGGCGAATTATTATTCTTTTTTTCAGTGGTAGCGAACTTAAGCAGATTTTTTTAAAGAAATATTATTAGACCTTAAGCATGCGTCTATATGACCATATATATATCAGTTTAAATTACTTGTGTTTGTGGACAAAATTCTTTTCATTCTAATTTCTCTAAATATAAATACATTACCCTTGCTACCGCTAGGAAGAATATTTTTTGAAACCACGGAGAATCCGTGGTAGTTGAAGTCTCCGTTATTATAATGTTGATATAAGCTATTTGCTATAATTCACCTCTCGGTAGGAGAATCATAACATTATCCCTTTTCATTTGGATTAAAAAAAAGGAAATTTTGACTATCAGGAATTATAAATTTAAGAATTTTAGTTGACATCTTAAGCAATGTAACTTTAACACTGTGAACGATGCAGAGATGCCGACTTGTTCCGCTTTGTAAAATAATATTTTCTAGTGGTGATGAAATTTAAGTTATTTTTAGTTTAGTATTTTTCCTTTTAAGAAATCCTTCCACCACTACTTATCAAAAACTCAAAGTATCATACGAAATTCGACTTTATGGCAGTCATCTCGTGCTGATGTTTTTTAAAAGTGGGTGTAAACATCTTTATATTACAAGTTATACTATTTGATTCGCTACCATTTATTAAAATTTTTATTGAAAGTGGAGCAGATATGGCATCCCTGTAGGCGCCCAGATAAATTTTGATTATCATAACTCTTAAACTCTTCGAAGCAATTATTTTTTTTTATATAGTACTAGTGAACTGTTAATGGAATTGACATTTTCGCACATGGGTATTTTACATTAAATTGGTATTTAACATTAGAACATAGCTCACATCTCAGTGCGCTTGCCGCGAAGTGGCATTAACTGATTCGTGGTATTTTTGAGACATGTAATGGGTGTGAAGTGGGGCTAGAATTGGGGGGGGGAGGGACGCCGAGCACCCAAAAGTAAAGTCATGAGTGGGAAACCAGTCGGTTGAACATATGATGAAATCAATAGAAAATTAAACATAATTGAGATTAAACTAGATTAGAATATAATACTACTTCAGGGCTCAGAATAATATTAATATTTACGCAGGTGTAATAAAATAGCAAATAATAGAGAAAATAGATGCAACAATTTACACGAGATTGACAAAAATCGGTCAACGACAAAGTAAAAGGTTATATAAGCGATAGATAGTCCGGAAATTACCTTGTCTGTGACTCGGTTATGGTGATGATCTGCAGGACATCCTGCTAATATCACTCGTTTCTGAGTTGCTCCTCTCACTAAAGTTACCAATTCATCGTCCCCAAGGCTGCGACGCATTTGGATTGCTTGCCTACCGTGGTGCCGATGAATTGTTGTGTTTTAAACTTTAAAAGTAACATAGTACATTAATAGCAAGTGTTTCAGAATCACTTAAATATAATGGTAATAAAAATTGTTTAAAATCCTATTCATTAAAGTAATCAACTATCAATTAATGAATGTATAAATTATGTAAATATATCACGTTCAAAATATAAGCACTTAACTTATTACTGCTGCTTAAAAATCAAAGTAAGAATGGGTTCAAATGTTGGAAATCCGATATTTTGAAACTAATATTTATTTGAATCTATTATAAAATATTATGGTGATTAGGAACAAGATAAAACGTATCTCTATGACTGTTACAATTATGTTAATAAAATTTTTGAAATCTTAAGCATGAATATTAATTCGAAAATGAAAGCTAATAAAAATAAACTTGTATCAGAACAAAATCGGCACCCATATTATTTTTAAAGGATGGAACGAACCCTGGGGTGCTACGACCTGCAAAAAATATGTAAGTGGTAGCTGAAATTTTTCCAGACTACTTAATTCTTTTAAATTTAGCTTGGCCTTTAGCGTTACAAAAATATTCCTGTGCTTTTCATCACGCATACTGATCTGTTTATAAGTTGAGTTACACACGGACATTTTACCTTATCATTATTTAGAAAACTTCATTAAAAAAGTTCAAAATCTTGGCATTTAGCTTATAAAATTTGTAATTCTTGCATTTCTTCTAAAATTGGATTTGCAATTTCTTTGGTTAACCTCTTAATGTAAGTCTCATCTGGTGTTATTTTTTTTCTTCAAATTTTACAATTTTCTCTAGACATGAAATATTTTTATTATTTCTTTTTCTAAATTTCACTTCTTCCTTTTTCTACTTTTCACTTAAAAGTTGTAATTTTGATCATTTTTCTTCAAAAATTCTCTTAATTATTTCTTCAGTTATAGATTCCTCATAGTTTTCATGCGTTAAAATTTTACTTCCAATCTCCGTAAATATGTTATTTTCATTTTCATCTGAACCAAGTCCATTTTACGAATTAACCAGTCCGGTTTTAAATAGTTTCCCGAAATATGACATTTTTCACGACGTAAGTTATCAATAAACTTAAAAATAAAATAATTCTTTTTTGTAGAAAGGAAAAAGAAACATTTCACTGAATTATTAAATTTCCTAGATACTAAACTTAACAACATATTAAATTTACGATATTAATATAATCTCTATTTATTTACTTCAATAAAACTATAATTATGTTTAATCCCTTTTGATTTTCTTAAAAGACTTAATCCAACAAAATTACTTTTAAAACCTTCATCTGTTACACATTTAAATTGCAAGCTCACACCAAAAGCGAAACAAAACACACACTCGCACATCTTCCTTATCCAGGAGGGGCGTCCGTAAGTCCAGCGGTGTCTCATCACATATCCATGCATCGGTCGGGTGGTCAAGGAGATGATCAGGGGTTGGCCGTAAAAGCAGGCAGACGATAAGTAGATCATCCCAGGGTTCATTAGATTTTTCAAAATTTAATCACAGCAGCAATCAATTCTTCGCCCCGGGATAGCTCGGTTGGTAGAGCGTTGGACTTGCGTTCGTGAGAGCGGGAGTTCGAATCCCGACGGTTGAAGAATCACCGTACATTAAATGGTGACTGGTGCACGTTAAATCTGTCGGGGTCACAAGGTCCCCCAAGTTCCCATAACAAATCAATACCTCCGGGGGTACTGATCTAAGAGTTCTCGTGTCTTCTGGATTGGGTTCAAAATTACAGGATTTGAATATTGGTTGTCGTAAATTCAAAATTTGGGTCGGCTGTTCAACGACGGTTATAAAATAAAATATCATTGTAGAGAGCTGTGATGGCTCAGGGAATGCAGCGTTCGTTTTCCAGTGAGGTGAACCGGGTTCGAATCCCAGCAATGGCTGGTCTATATGAATTCCGAATCCTTCCTGCACCGACCATTGTGCTGACGTAAAATATCATCAGTGGTAGACGGTTCCCTTGCCGTCAGGCAAACCGTAGGAGATTTTCATGGCTTTCCTCTCCTTGTAACGCAAATGCGGGTTAGCTCAAACAAAAAGTCCTCCACAAAAGCAAATTTCTCCCAATACTTGATGCTGGAGCTCCCTCGTCTTCTGGTTTGGGTTTAAAATTACAAGACTACGGAGTTGAACGTTAGTAGTCTTAAACCCAGAGAATTGGGTCGGCTGTTCAACGACGATTATAAAATAAAATAAAATAAAATATCGTTGTAGGCTAATCTGTAACGTCCTATATTGTTGTATCGTAATACCGAGCTTTGCATCGTAATCCACGAAATTTTTACTATGGTTAATTTTAACGACATTTCTGCAGAATAAAAATTAAAGATCACTTTTATTCTAATTTAATTTAGACAATCAGTAAAAAATTTAAATATGCAGGAAGTCTAGAAAAGCTTCAAATGAACATTACG